TACATATATATATATATATATATGCATGCCACGATTCGTGTGAACATGAACTGACTATAAATGCAGTAGATCGGAGCATGAATTTTTAAAGAAAGCCTGCTTTTCGTGATCTAAATAAACCACTGAACAATACGAAGTGTTAGCTTTCCTGGTCGAAAACGGAGTACGGCTCAAAGACCTTACTCTTGAACAAGTGACCAACGAAGAGGCGCATTCGATATAGGCTCCTGGTAATTGCACCGAACCCGTCTTGAGCGCGTTTAACTAATTTCAGCGGACTTAATTAGAGTATTCTAGTTTTGAACTCGGACATATCGAAGCAAAGGGATTGCGTAGCAGCGAATACATAAAGGTACTATTCTCGTTTTCGTATTCGGACAAAGAAGAAAATGCACCGGACGGCCTTTTTTTTAAATCTAACGGTCGCTTGATTGTTGTTAGCTTAGCCAAGTGATCCCGTTTGCTTCATGGCTAATTTCTGTTCTTAAAGATACTTTCAGAGCAGATAGAAAGCAGACTTTTTTTGAAACTGGATAGTCGAAAATTGTCGTAGAGTTTTGCTTCTTTATTTAATAATGGCTACGTTGCATTAATAATAATAGCGCGTATAAGCCAACAGGATGTGTCTCTATCATTAATTGGGAACGGGAAAGAGATTCTCTCGCTGCTGAAAAATCATCAAACTTTCTGTGCTAAATAAATCCCCTAGAAGGTAATTGAAAAACATTCGGCCAGCAGCTTCAACAATTTAGCTAAGCCATCATAACCTTTAAAGACAAGATCTTTGTTGTCATTTGTTGTCCATCTACCGTTTGCTTGTACGACTGATGCAATTCTATTACCTATCAACGTGTTTTTTTAAAGCAGTCCCACCTGAATTCATCAGATGTGCGAATACTAAGAAGGTTTTATGTAAATGACTAGAATAAATTACTTTGCACTTACTATCTATAATATGATATATAGAATCGCGCTCGACTACACAACAGCTTCGTAAGCATTACCTATCTGATAGCTTAACGCCACGTAGGAACGCCTTCATAAAGAAACTGATCTATAGACTGTTATTATTAGGATGCCCTACAGGTTTATCACTCTCAGGGTAGTTATGACTTTATTACTTGTATGTGATAATTAACTATTGAAATTTGAATTGGCATTAAGCATAGACTGATTTGAGCCGAGTGGCCTAAATCGCAGACATTTGTATCGTTCGCCTCCGCCAACTACCGTGCCATAAAGTAATCGTGATTGATCGAAAAATTTGGAAAACTGGTACAGCGTACGGAAAAGAAAATTAACTAACGATCATAAAACAACAGTCGCCATTGGTAAACACGAACAGGTAAACACGAATAAAGACAAGGACGAGAACAAAGTGCTGACTTCCAGCAAACCATCTGATTTCACTAGTGTGATTTTGTGAACACTTTACCGGAGACCAAATCTAATTTTTGAGAAATGAATTCGCCACGAAACGTTCCGGACGATGAATGACGAAAAATACATTTTATTAGAAACGGAATATCGATTCGATACGACAAAGGGTATGTTACTAACAACTTGGCTTCGTGATGATACACCATGTATTATGTGTAGGACAGTTTGCTCTCTTCAATCTCTGCAATCAATGAAGGAATCAGTGCTGTTTTCCAACAATTCACATCGTCTGTACTTCGATCAGAAGGTCGCCGGATTGAGCGAATATTCAGTTTGGTTTTTACCAAATATAGAGATTGCGTAGTCACAGCCAACATTGTCCTTGCCTACCATACATGGACAACACATAGGACAGCACCTGGCGACAAAGGAAGTGGAGAGCGAGCGGAATCATCAATCACCTGCCATATGGACAATACTGGTTGAGCCTACGACCTAGCGACCGGCTGCTGCGGCCCTTCCTGAATCCTTCAATAGAATGATTATTTGCATCCTGGATAAGCTTATATCTGGGTCGGTTGACTAATAATCGCACAATTATGCGATGTCTATAAAAAAGCTTTATGACTGTATCTAAAATACAGTAACTTGCGTTAGGCACGGTTTGACCAATATATTTCCAAAGCGTTACTGTGTTAGTACTAAAAGATAATACAAAATTCAATCAGCAAAATTCAGCCAGTGCTTCCTTGGTACAAAATAATCTATGCCTCAATTAATGAGAGGAGGAGTGGAAAATCATAAGGAATAATATCAATAATTTGATCTATACATTTGCTATAGCTTTCTCATGCAGCATCTGTTGTTTATTGCAGGAAAATGCATCCATCCGATGTTTAATGAAAAGATTGCCCCGAATCAATCGTACTATCCGCCTGAAGTTTGCGAACAACATTTCTGCGACTCATCAAAAAGGTTTACTTCGTCTGCCGCTGGGTCTATTATAGCTTTACTTCTGTATCGTCGTTGCTTGTATGCATGTAAAAATGTAGTGTAGGCAAGAAATCAATATTATGAGCAATTTACTGATAAACGCAAAAAATGCGCAGAATTTCTTCTTACCACTTCCATTATAATTACTAATTGCTATTATTATATATACAAGTAAACTTGTACTTTGAATTTGAGCTAGTCATTATCGTAGTCATTGCGTGGACTCTGTGTGAGTTAGAAAACATTTTACATTATCGAGTTCATACGTAATATAATTATATTTTTCTAAAAAAAAATAAATTCTATATTACACACTATAGTTACGAAATAATAGCACAACAATAATTACGACTGTACTATAGTTAGCCGAAAAAAAATCATATGTGCTTACTTTTGCTTGTGGTGCTTCGCATGGTATCATTATAGGACAATCTACATCTCCGGATGCGGTAGAGTGATGGCCCCGCCTGGATGCAACGTCGAGTATGACCGCTCGCAAAAATACCCCGCGTGTTGCAGTCCGAAATTTATCTGCGAGAATGCCGATAATAAAACAACGACTGCCTGAAGGTTATAGATAGATGGAAAAAGCACTGAATTTAGTGCATTCATTCAGTAGCATGGTTGTAATTACAAAAATGGTTATACGAAGTATTCAGCCTATATTATGAAATAAGATACACACATTTCGAATGCTGTAACGACCGACTGGCAGCACGAACACCGTCCTAGACAAGGTGCTTAACGGGTTCTTTGGTCATGTATGGATATCATACCTGACAACATCACTATAACTATTGTCAATACCATCGGTGTAGTGAATTTTTAAACGGAAATTACGTTTGTATAAAACAAAAAGGTCACCAAATGGTTGATCGAAGAAAAACAAACCCCTTGCCACTTTACTCACTTGTCACCTTTGGTTGACAAACGCATCAGGCGGTCCTCTCTGAAGTAAACGGTCATCAGATATCGAATAGCTAATCTATTATGTATCTGATAATATATAATGTGGATTTTGAGTGTTGTTTGCATACCTCAAACACCGCATGCTAGCCCACGAACGATGAGCTACAGCATAATGAAATAATGAGAATAAGTAAGATCCATCGATACGGAAAACACGAATCAATAACGAAGATGCAACAACTTGACATAGAATAATCGTTGACAAATAGGTGCTTGGAGGATGTGAACTCGAAACGTTGTCTGTTTGAATTAAATTTGGGCTCGATTTGAAATAGTCTTTCCGAGACTATCGACTGCAGGTATACTCAATGGAAAAAGATGATAGCTTCAGAGTCGCCAGAGTGCTGACAGGCGTCACCTTGTGTGTTTTACCAAAGTCATGTGTACATACACGGAGAGATAGAAAGAGATATGTCATCTTTCATTTTATAAGTGTACATATAATAATACCATAAAACTAACCCTTGATTATACCTATTTGATATGTGTTGTAATTTGTGAAAACACTCATATTTTAAAGCTCCAGTCAGTTGTTGTAGGTGTTATTCACTATCGATAATGCAAAACATTAGGGCGTAATTACTTCAGAACGAACACTCCGGCAAGAAAAAGCATAAAATTTTACATAATGTCCTTTAAATATAAAAAATCTTTAAGGTATCCACAAAGCTCATGGTAACAGCATATCTATGTTGATAATAAGATTCAGAATTTACCATAGTCGTTAACTCTATTTATTCATGACAAGCCGAAAATCTCAAAGCTTAGTGGCGTACGTTACCTATCGTCTTGACAAACCAAAAACTATTTCAATCACGAGATTCCGGTAAAGAATTTCGTTTCATATACCTCTAAAATAACTTATACGTCACCTCTAAAATAAATATGTGAGTAAGCTGATAGAACACTAATCGATAAGATTGATACCAAAACCTTACAAAATGTCTGTTGAATAGAATGAACAGTCTCCGGTCTGATTTCTTTATTGACTGATTAGGGAATTCAAATCAAATTTTGGCCTATTTAAGGTCATATCAAGGTAGAGTTGTAACTCTCTTTCATGTCCACTATATAAAAATACATATTCATACATAATCAGATATTTTCTAAAAAATCCCTTCCCATTTTACTACAGCTACCGTTTTCAAAATGTGTTTCTATTATTATTACTAGTAATAAAAATTATATTACATTACCTAACAGAAAGCTTGATAAGGATGGGTTAAAAAAATAATTCGCAAAAGTTGTTTTAAAGAGAAAGCTACATCATTTAGTAGATATCGTGTTACCACGTAGATATGCCTCAGTTCTTATTCTGTGAGTAGTTTGTCGTACATACTGCTGTACAAATCTGCTGTTGTTTTGGTCGAGTAAAGCTTTCCAGATTTTATTCTAAAGCCTCGTGGTTCAGCATGGCCATTATTTTTTACTACATATAGAAAATGCGTTTTCCTAGATTTACAAATACCAATGCTGGAAATTTGAATATTGGTCCACCCGTGCTAGTTATCATTGTTAAAAATAACATGATTTCTTTTTAAAAACCTCTTTTTTAGAAAACTTGAAAGAACTTCATTGCGAGAAATATTAAATTATAAGAAGAGCTTATTACTGGCACTCACCCTTATTTGGCATACGTCAGTGTTCTTCTAGGAGAAAATCATATAGCATGATGTTTAATGAGTCAGTCATTCAAATTCTAAATTAAATGCTCATACTTTACTAAGGAAGGCCGTAAATTTTAATTTATTAGGTAAATTCATGAATAATAATAAACGCATCCATCATTCGAATAACAATAATTGTAATAATGCCATGAGGAGGATTACGTACGGTGTTGCACGCATACATATAATTACGCATCTCCGCCTTCTGCAAAATATACGGGAATATGTACCAAAGAACATCCTTTATACAGAACTTAATGATCTACATTTTGTTTTCCGGTAGTATCTTTACTGAACTTATTCGTCCATGGTGCTGATTACTGTAATAAGCACAGTCCAGGGACAGCAACGAATGTAATTGACCGCAAATGTTTCATTAATCAAATACTGTTTTTTCTTCTTTGACACAGCTAAGCCCGAAGAAGATAAAGTTTGCACTTAACACCAGATGAAAAGCCACATCGTGTCATTTTCTACCCTGCTATTACAGGTTTTGCCCTTATCACATAGTTATAAAAAAAAAAACCTAACCAAGCCATTTACCTCAAGCGGCCGGGTGTCACCAGATATCCGTGTTTTTTGACCCAGCGACCGCCGATGCCACATATGCCTTAACTGAACTCACTTCTATTTCCTTTATTGTTCTCGTCCAATACTCTTGAGCTTGTTCGTAGCGTGAATATTGTGAACATGGCTACTCAGAATGAGAATAGGTAAGTTGTGGTTATTGCTAATTAATGATAAACGATGAAAGATTTCCTGACTAAAGCTTTGACAAGAACCCAGTGGGCAGCCTAGTCTACTCGAGTCGGAGAAGTTCGACGTCGAAGATCAGGGTGGCGTTTGGCGGAATCGCGCCGGGATGGCCGCGGGATCCGTAGGCGTAGTCGGGTGTACAGGTAAGTGTAGCCCGTTCGCCGACCGACATCTTGGCCACACCCTCATCCCACCCCGCGATTACCTCGCCCTTGCCGATTCTGAACTTGAAAGGCTTTCCGCGATCACGCGACGAATCGAACTTAGTGCCGTCGGTCAACGTACCGGTGTAATGCACGACAACGGTCTGGCCGTTTCGCGGATAGGTCGAACAATCTCCCTGTTGGATTGTTTTGACGTCCACGCCCATGATGTTTGTTTCTATCAGCTACTCAAACCTGAAATGTTGGAATGAACAGATTACAGTTTAGCAAAGTTACCTGCGTGTTACCTATTTTTTTTTCGTTTCAATTTGCTTATAAAATTTAGTTATCACGTTTGTAATGATGACGCGAGTAATAAACATTTATGCCAGAGAAAAACCTAGCAAGTAATAAAGTTTTCGGAAAACGATCCCTTGGATGAGTTTGCGTTATCCAGCAGACGCGTACATCGCATTTGCTGTATATTGGAGCAGTCACTAACAAGCATTGCGGTAATTATGCTGCTGGTGTGAATTGTGAAGCCTACGAGATACCCTCGGGGAAAAGGCGGTTCCGCCGCTATTTTTGGCTGGAGACCATCAAACTGTACTATCATATCAATTAAACATGTTCCCTTGACTAACAGGTAATTGTAATAGTCACCGCAGCTTAGGTCCCCTTGAAAGAGTGGTATCATCAGCAAACGCCCAATAAATGCCCAAGTGATCCGATTCTGTTCCCAGTCCTATTATCTCAGCCCGCTGTTCTTGCGGCTGGTGTTTTTCTACCGTCAAGGCTGTTTGTCGATTTTATACATGGAACTCCAGAGAATTTGGGTTTCACTAATTGTGAGTCTAACGTATCGTGCTTGCCATCGAGGGAAGAGGCGAGGGAGGAAAGGACACCCTCAATAAAAAGACCCTTGGTACCAGCGATTTCTGCGATGCAGCACACACGCACGTAGACACAGATGCAGTTCTAATCGTATCGATTGCGCCGAGCAACCGAGACCGCTGATTGCATAACCGAGTCAACAAACAGCATTTGAATAAAACAAGTATTTCTTTTGGTAACGCTGACGCCTGATGAACATACATCCAATTTCTGTTCAAATCTTAATGGAGGTTCAGAGACATCCGATAATGATACGGAAACATGCAATAGCTTTTAATCTTTATTTCGTGAGCGTGATCAATATACCACGCAATTTTTTTGCGATTGTAAATATAGTACTTTACACGCGTATAACTCCAAGATATAGAGTATGAACGCAACAGGCCTTCACTTCGAATTTGCATTAACAGTATTTGTAATACTAGGAATAATTTATAATGATTTGTAACGGCTTACTGTATAAATCATTCAAATGTTGCCAAAAATCAGTATAATCGAAGAAATTCACGAATTCGCAAACTCCTTTTTTTAACTTTACCTCCTTTGCTATGACAAAACCGACTTCTGCATGTCGTAATCCTTAAAAACGTAATAATGATGCTCGTGTCCTCCCGCGAACAGTATTTCATGACAGAAAATTCCCGAGATAATTATTCGCAACATTGAATAATTTGTAAATGTAGCAAACAATGTTAAAAACATGCCAAACATGCTATAGCAACGTCTGTGTTGATCCTGTCACTCGAACGATTCTACTACTCCGATTCCTACTATTCTATCGACATCAAAAAGCTTCTACGTCGGGTGAGAGCAAAAAAAATAGACTCTTTGCATCACCTGAAATTCAATATCGAAAACTTGGAAAACTCTGCAACATTATTTAGGTCCAGTTCTGTGGAATATATTTTTGAAATTCGGAAAATTTCATCGTCAGTCACCAAGCAAGCGACATTGCCGCTTAATCAACCAAAGAGTAATCTGCGTATTTATTGCACATACCTTCGATTGACAGCATTTACGACTTAACCTCAACGACAAGAGAATGCGAAAGCACCTAATAAAACTAATGTTACAATATGCCTTTTTTTGTGTTACTCTTTAATCAAATCGTTCAGCGACCTGAGAGATTGGCGTCGTTGGTTGCGGTGCTATCTGGAGATCGTCGCGGGGCAATTAAATGCAACTGTAAAACAAGGCCGCATACGCCCAAATAGTGGACGCTTCTGGGGCAGCTCGACGAGCCGCTGCGTATACAAACATCGAAAATAAAGAGGGGCTTAACCAACCAAGCTCCTTATTATTATAGATAATAGTTGTCCACACATTACAAGAATCGTTTTTCAAAGGTGCATTACAAATTAATAATCCATCATTCATTGGTTGTTACTATGCACGAACATAACAATGTTGACATAAGCTCATGTACTTAGACGGTCGATCTACAGCATATTCGAGAGAAAGCAAAGCGGGATCGCTTGGAACCGCCTTTGTCGCTTCCTTCTCGAGCCCGTATGGGTTACTTCGTTGTTGTCAACTTAGCACCATGGCACCGACAACTGGAATAGGTAGTTTGCAAACGACGACGAAGAATAAAAGATAAGAAGTGGACATTGTCTTTTAAAACTTCACAGTTGGAACATCGACTTACCAAACTCGGCCGTAACAAGTCTTCAGCAATGTTCTGAGAGCGGTAGAGTCCCGACTGGTGTAGGCCTAACCGGCAACCGGTGACGCGCGAATCCTCAAATTCGCTAATCGGCGGAATGCACACAGATCTAACCTTTGCAAAGCATCAATACAATAAACTAAAAATTTTAGCTTAGTGCCATGTTTTTTAGCCTAGGCAATTGCAATACTCACATGTGTGAGGTTAGATCAAACGTAAAATCTATTTTAGTGATACAAGTTCACCGTCACATTTTCATGCCAATAGGAAAAAAGGTGCCATTTGCATGATCAACGGGCAAGTCGATTATCGCTCCAATTGAAACCATAACAAAACAATCCGCAACAAGCGAGGCTATTCATGCGTATGTCCATGCGCGGTGAGAATCGCCGTGGTACCGTAATACGGTCATTATGGTTAGAAAATCAATACATTTAGCCCATTTGGTTATACAACAGCCTTGCAAACACTGTGAGTATTGCTTAGGATAGGAAAATGTTGTGATAGGCCGACGAAGCATCGGACCATTTGTTTCGCTCAATGTTCGATCGGCCGTTGAACGTATTCAATGAAATCTACGAAGCGATGTGTGCGCCATAACTTTTGGTGAAATGCTGATAGAACTGTTTGTACTAAAACTAGGTTTTTGGGTTCTAAGTTGATAAGAATGTAAGTGTCCCATCGTCCAAAGCGATTCGGACTGGTTGGCTACATTGCGATGTTTATTCCTATGAGAGAAAGTTGCGGAACCTATGGTACTATGTTGAATATATGTAATAGCAGAGGATTATCGGGATGTATCCGTTAAGAATAATAAAAAAAAGAGAGCTGGCTTCAACATCAATATTAATTAGAACGTGTTAAATTTTTTAAAGCGATATGAAATCAGAAGAGTGGTACTTTTAGTTTTGTGTAAATTCATATGTAATATATACTTTATGTAATAGACTAAGACCACTACAGACTTTTTGCCGTGATAAATTGCTCATGAACAAGGAACATGTGGGTTAAGAACAGCAGTAAATGGTGTCTCCGGTGGCTGACCAAAATATTGCGGTCATTCTGTTGCTATTCAGTCATTACCTTTTGCTATAAGAATGTTTCTTCATTTTGTGTTCATTTTACGGTGTCTGGCACATGGGTATCAACTGTTGGCGTTACAGTGAGTTCAAATCCGAGATTAAGCAATACTGAAGCAATTGCGAAGCGGAACACACTCTTTAGCAATGAAAAATCGCGTCAGGCGTCGCTAGTCACTCGAGTCACGAAAATCAAAGTGAAGTACGAGGGTACTCCAAAGCCTTGCACAATGATAATGAACAAGGACATGTCGACGCCGTATGACTGCGCAAAACGTAGGTTGCTGAAACGAAATGGCTTTACAGACAGCCCTATCATCAAACCATTAGATATTTTTACCGTTCTTTGTCTCTATTAACGGGATAGTACCGTGTTCTGCTGAAGTCTGCTCCTTAGAGTTAAAAAGGTCAAAGTTATTGAGTCCAGTGATTTTTAGTAAAAGATAGAAGAAGTAATTTTTTTTCCATTTTTAACCGTCTCTTAAATAATTGTTGCTGAAATGTTTTACCAAGGGGCTTATTAAGTTTTACCACGGATTTCTGTGCCAGTGATTTTGCTCGAATTAAGTTCAATGCAGTTCTACTAATTACTATTTTGTGTAACTTTGTTGGTTGTAGATCTACCCGAACCCATCCGAAAAAGAGCTGTTATAGCCTATGTAGATGGTAAACCATGGGATATGCACAGACCGTTGGAGGATGACTGCACGCTTAATCTAGCCCATTTCAAGGATCCCAACAAGGCTTGGATCAACATGGTGAACAAAGCGTTTTGGAGAAGCTGTTCATTTCTATTAGGTAATCTTTAATCGACTGTTTATTATTTTTTTTCTGTTTAGGTTTTTCACTTACTCTTTCTGCAGGTGCCCTCATATAGTTGTTTATTTATTCGATAGTTATACAAGTATTCGTCAGTAATTTTTATTTATTATAAGTGTAGCGCGAACCAACCAGATTTACTTTGTAGTTTAGTCTAATCGAAATCTGTATTTCCATTTTCGTTGTATACGGCTAGCTTTTACTATACACGTCACACCACACATTTACTTCCGATTTAATATAATAAGGTTATTAAAACACATAAGTTACATATACCTGTATATTTAGATTTAGGATTATCGCAAATATTTTGACCAACATAGCAAGACAAAGGTAGACGACAATCTAAAAATGTGTGTTCATGATCGCGCTTGTCTTACTCAATAACCGTTTATAGGGTATGCTATTGAAAGAGCTTTCAAGGACGAACACCATGTACTTTTACACTCTTGGCCGGCTCCAGCAATTGAAAGTGGCTCCTTTGTTTATGACGTGGCGTTGTCAGTCGCCAATTGGAGGCCCAGACACGAGGAGTGCAGAATTTTAGGATCTTCCGTACAGCGGTTGACATATTTTTCGGAGACGTTTGAGCGACTCGAAGTGGACGCAGGCGTGGCGAAACAAATGTTTGAAGATAACAAGTACGTTAGTGGTATCTTTGTTGCTGCACACCGATACTGTTCATCACTGGAAGAGCTAGGCAGACCTTAACAAGCAGGAAGTCTAATCGAATGTTTGACTCTAGCTTTATGTATGCTTCGAGTCCTTAGTTGAAGTCTTCAGAATTGTAAATAATGTACTTATGGGATGAACTGATCGCATCTTGTGGCTGTTACTGTGAGCATTTTTCTTATTTAATTTTAGATTTAAATACGAGCAAGTAGACCACGTCGCAGCAGCATCTAAACATGGCACAGTCATTCTGTATCGTTGTGGCGACCACGTCGACATGAGCTGTGGGCCAATGATAGCGAATACATCGCAGGTTACGCATTTCAACGTTGTCTCAGTTCATCCCTTTGAAACACCCATAGGACTCATGCAGCGGTTTCAGGGTGTCGCCATACCGTCCTTTTTTACGGTTAGTTTTGTACAAGTGGTATATATAATTATTTAAGTAGCGTGGTAATACGAACATATTTCTTTATCTTATTTTGTCTGTAGTGGTCGACACCACTGTCAAACGTAAATATATGCAGACAAAATATGTATAGCTAAAATGGTTGCTCATTTTTTCATACGTTTACGTAAAGATGGCTTGGTGACTGCTTTTCGCGGAAGCATAGCATGATTTCCATCATTATTGTATGTACACAAAGGCGGAGATTGATTGCATGATGTCGTTAATAGCATTTCCGTACTTTGCAGATGAGTCCATTCGCAAGAAATGTCCTCAAGAAACGAGCACTAGCTATGGTAAGTGCCTCCACTTCGTATATAAATAGAACATAGATATAGCCAGGATCCATGATCGAAATGTTTATTAATGTTGTAGTGTGCGCCAACTGTAATTAATTCCAGTCAAATTTACCTAGTAGTTGGCTTCTGACCTATAATACCTGTGTATGGCAATTTTCCGCACTAATTAGCTTTTATAGACTACAATATATTCAACTGTATAGAACGATTGACAATACCTTTACCATGTTATCCTCTCTTATTCGGTTTTGACTTTACAGAACACGACCGGCCTTCCTCAAGAAGCTACTCAAACGCTCGAAGATGCAGAAGCCAATTTAGCAAAGGCTAAAGAAGAGGAGGAAAACGTCGATCATGATGAAAATAACCAACACGATTACACACCAAAAGAACATCAAGCGGCACAATAAAAAAGGACACAATGAATCTTGGAGCCTGACTGTAGCGAAAAGCATTGAATCAATGAAGCACGCCCACAGAGATACAGGCCATTGTATATCCGTATTCATCAGCTACTATAAAAAGAGGAAGCACAGTATCTAGCGATCCTGTTGCTCTTATCGAGTTCAATTGTTTGTAAAGTCGCAAATTAAGGATAGACAAATCGGGGATCTTTTTTATTACATTCTATATAATTGAACCAAGCAACTGCATCTGCTTTGAAGAAGGTTTTGTGTTCGGGCTGAGCTAGAGCTCCGTGCCATTATTACCTTTTAAATCCTGCACCCATTATTCTGGGACATGAAGGTTTGTGTCCGATTGAGGGAAGATACAATGATTAATCTTGGTAGTGCGTGATGAAAAGGTGCCTGCAGTCGTCGGTTACTATGGGATAGGGCCCGACTTGGGCGAGAACATGTAAAAGCGTCCAGGCGTCAAAAGAGACGAAGATGGGAAAATCGTGCGGAGCTCAACGGAAAGCTCGATGTTTTTATTACCTATATGTGCTAGTTTGAAATAGCGTTGTAGATAGTTACTGCAGTACTAAAAAATATACAGTGATTTTATATAAATGCATACGTACTATTGTGCCTTTACTTAACGTAAATACAGTGTGGTCGTATCGTTCCTATCTACCATGGCTAGTACCTAGAAGATAATTATTGAAGAATAAAGGCTAACACAAATCATAATGACATTATGGAAAGAATTAGCATCATTTATTTAACCAGAAAACATTCTCAGCTGGTTGTATCACGCCGAAAAGATACTCACATATAATTAGTTATTCCCATTTAAAATTCCTTCAACCGTATTGTTCCATTTAATGAAGACTCAAGTGGGAAATTTAGAGAATTTCTATTTCACTTTTTATTTAGGAATAAGACTATAACGTTTCGTAGATTTTTAATATGCTGTTTAATAGTTAAAGAAGAATACTCTTATGAATGGCCTTGTCTCAATAAAACTAATTTTCCTGTGTTTTAACAGCACACTTTAAATATATAGACCGCACGTCCAACATGATAAAATGTTGCTTACTTAATATTATCCTTATTTTATACACATTTGGTTTTGAGCGTTTTTCAGGTGAAAGTCGAACTCGATCCTTAAGCGGCTGGCTTTTTTAGGTCAACAACAACCACAACGGTGACGAATTCAAGCTAAGTTAGTTTTTAATTAATGGTAGTTTACGGGTATCATCGTTTTCTCAAACCAGTCATGCAAGACGAATGCTTAAACGCTGTCTTGAGAAAGTGGCAAGATATGGATCGTACGGAATAGGCAATATGAAAACAAAGTACTTGACAGTCAATGTATATCTCTACGATAAAGCATGCGCAGTAGAACAAACTACTTTTGTCTTCAGGGATCTTTAAAGATTACGTTTTTTGCGGAGGCGTCAAATATGCACTGTGAAAAAGGGAATAGCTTTTTATAAACTCAAAAATTGTTAATTAGTCATTAACTAAATTCCATACAGCGTTACGTTTTATGTAGCGTCTACAGTAACGTATGCTGCGTACTGTTACCTAGGTCTATTCAATTCGAAAATCTGCATTGTTACACTATTTTTAGTATCGAAAGCATACTCACCAGTGGCGGTGTAGGTTCGGATCCTACACGTTTCGTGTAGGACGCTGGGAACCAGCTGTCTGAAGCAATGCATTACTGCACTACTAAAGATAAAACTTGTAATATTTATTTATTTAGTACCTATAATGTATCAGGGGTAGTTATGTGTATGGACTGAATGGTGTATTGACCTCGTAAAAGTGATTTTGTTAATCCCGTAACCAGTTCTTTGCTATTAGTATATACTTAATGTTAAAAAAAAGTCAACTTATAGTAGGTAATGTTCTGTCTATTTCCTTTACAGTCCCTTTAGTTCCCGTAATGGCGCAGTACGTACTGTGTTCGCCTACTAAACCTGGGGGGTAGTTTGTGTAACGGGTTCGAATTCAAACATGTACACACATTCTGCTTTATACTGAAAACCAGCCCTCTTATAAAATGCCCAACGGCGGTATCGGACGTAGAAGTCGAAACATTTAGAGCTTCTCAAAAAATTTATAATAATTATGACACAAGATTTATTATCCACACAGAACGTGGCATATAATTTACATTTCCGCTAAATCTTTAAATACTTAAAAATTACTATATAATTGGTTGTGAGATTCTTTCTCTAATTCTGCGATTATCAATAAGTACGGTCGCTAAAATGGCCCGGTGGTATGCGGGTTATAAAAGCACAGAGTAATATATTCCTATAAAAAATGCTCATATTGTAGCAGTTAAACAGCTAGAATGACATACGGAAATGCTCATTTATTCTTAGCTGATCCAACAATGGTTATCGTACATCTTGCTCAAATCGATTTACAGATCGATACAGGACTAATGCAAACCTAACAAGAGATTGCTAACCATTTCACTTGAAGGAGTGAAGATGCATAAATGATTATTATTAAACAACTCCGAATTTAGACTATGTTAAACTACAGTTTGTCGCTAATGCTAGTCTGTAGGATTGTTGCCTAGATCGACTTCGTATTTGTTGAATTAAGTGTCATTTCGTAAATAATATATATAAGTATCAATATAAGTAATCATATAAGTAACCAATACCAGTATTAATTAATGTTAGTAGAGGTAGTAATGATCACAACTGCTAGAAGGTACCGCAGTACTAATTCTACTAGTACACTTAGTACTGGTAGAATTAGTACTGCGGTAAATTAATTTCCTCTAATCTAAATTAATGGTAAAGTTAATCTTATTTTAAGTTAATTTAGGTTAAATTGATTTAATATAATTAATTTGACCCGAAAATTTAATACTAAGCCGCTTTAATGGTAAGTGACGAAAACTAAAATCAAAGAGAAATATTACTGACTGGTAGCTAATCTGGCGCCCTTCAGTAAATGTTTAAGGTCAAGAGAGAACCCGCTAGCATTATCTTCGTGTTCAGTCAAAATTCTGTTAATTCTACACTTAATATTCTAGAACATTACAGCTTGTATATTATTGTAAGAACGCGTGCTAATGAGTCGTGGTGTGCAGAAAAGTGATTTCAGACGTCGACTATTATGGGCAAAAAACCTGACGAACGATGTACAGAAGCGCGTGCCAGAAGGTGACAAGAAAATAAAGTACGTTGTTTATGGGACAACGTGTTTTTAGGATTGATATTATATATTTTAAAAACACATAAGTATTTGTTTTTGTATTATGAAGTTAAGAGTCCTGTTGTGTACACGTATTGTGTCTTAATGCACCATTTGGATCTGAATTAAACACTATGGCACTTTGAACATAAAACATTTTAACACTAGTTGTGTACTCTTTCTGAAATATCGTGTTTTATGGTTAGTTCCATTAAATATATTGCCATTTTTTTCGTTTTGTTTCAAGTTAGGAACCGCACATTTGATATTGAAGGGAGTTGCTAAACCTGGCTGGACGTGTTCTTCAACACCAAACCTGAAAATTTCTGTTCACAAAAAGAAATTGGCAAAAACTTATTATCCGATTTAATATTAGGCTGTTGGAAACGCATCCGGTAAACTTGGAAATGGAATAACTTTGGAACTAGTTGGGCTGAAATGATGAATAGTTAATGTGCGTTAAAGGTACTATTGTTTTTTAATTTTTTTTAGGCACTCGTCCGGGCATTCTAGCAGCTTCTGGATTACCACCTATCTACCATTCCCGTTCTTATTTGTAATTTCCTAATCTATGGCTTCTCGAAATACATCAATAGTGGTATATGTACATTGTACTATCACATTACGTCCGAACCTGCTCGACACTGTCATTAAACTCAGTCTTTCTTTAGAGCGACGTCATTCCACCTCCTTGTCCTTCTTTGGCAGGTGTTAGAAATTGAACCATGCCTTGTCTACGGGGACTGTATGCCCCAGGCGGTTTTTTTGTAGATTGCACCTGGAATATGCCATACATTACTAATTTCCTGGACCTCTTTATCAGCTTGGGTCATGGTTCGGGATATATTTGATATTACTTCGAAACCACGACTTGCAGGGACGGTCATTTCGTCATCCTTCCCTTTGAACCGTTCCAGTCCATCCTCCATTCTGGCTCTAATTTCCTCTTGACCAGAGACGCTGGGTCGCGAGGGGGACCGTATTCCCTGCTCTCCCGTTAATACCAATTGTAATGTGTCAGGCCCGTGATTATTTAGGGTCTGTCCTTCTATTATTCTCTTACGTCTCTAAATTTTACCTGTTACTGGCACGTGGTTCAAATGTCTATTTCATTTCAAAATTTGGCAGGTTCGCTTGTAGTAGCTTTTATTGATAATTTACAATCTAAGGAATCCAGAATTAGATCCATGTTAAAGTTCTGTGATTCCGTTTCCTCTGTGTATGAAAAAAAATATCCTCTCATCTATAGGTAAAACGAAATAGAGCGAAATAAGGCCTCTGCGTAATAACGACACTTGGTTGTCTGTAAATAATTGTAGTTTATTTTAGGGAATAGTACACACGCATAATGTTCATATGTACATGGCTCTCCCGGTACGGGCTTCTGGCCGATCAAATACAGCGACGCATATGGAACATGTTTTTCGTCGTTACCCATTCTACTACCCGCCCGTAAGTCTCCACAATGTTTCCTCTCACACGCGCCTCTATCGAGTTCGCCTCCAGCCTCGACCCCGACCTCCCGTAGGCAATCCTTTACAATCATGCCACTTCTTCGCCCTCGCCCATCCCCTGTATATAGCTACCTACGTTTTTCATTTATTACTTCACACCCTATTTCATTCGGTCGTTCGTTCTATCGCAATTTCGTTTTGTTACCTACCCAAGCAGCCAGCCAGTCGACCCTAGCCTTTACTCTGTGCCAAGTGTCGCAGCTGCAAACTATCATAATCATCATTATTATTAATTATGATCGTTATCATCAAAGTCTTCTCCTTCATCCTGATCATTGGCATGATCCATAATTTTGTTTGTGTTTTTCATCACCGTCGTAGTGTCGTGGTCATTGTGTTTCGCCTTTCTTATCCAAGATGGACTCGCCTCCACAAATACAGACAAGACCAACATTTTAATTTTCGGCCTACTTCTCCTGTCTCTTCTATGTAATCACTATTATCGTACTAATTAGCGGCATGCTCATCATAATCATTATCAATATTCGTCATTATAGTCGTGGTACTATCATCATCAACATAGTCATTGTTATCGATACAAAAATTAAATCGACGAAAGCCGTGCTCCCATGTAGATAATCATCAAAACTGTTATTTACGGGGTCATAAGAGGACAACATGGGGCAAAGACAGAAGGGAAAAACCGCAAGGAGAGTACAATAAGGAATGCTAGGCTTTTCAGAGTTTGAAAAAAACAAATAAGCTTGAGTTTAGTAGAAGATTACATATAGGACTCCTCGTGTCTATGGGAGCACTGCCTTCGCCACCGCAGATCGCACTCTTCGCGTCCTTACCCCCCTCCCTCAAAAACGCTGTACAATAATTACAGTAACTTGCCAGCCAGCCGAAATAAAAAGCGTAAACAAGGACAGGAAAGAGATCTTAACCCCGCCCTATAATGGGTTGCTTCATTTCTTTAACCTTTTCTTCGTGCTCGCTTTTCTTTTTGTATTTTTATATATGACACTCGGTACTCGTTCATCTATATTTTTCATCATCTTTTACACGATTTGTTTTATAATACTACTTTACTATTAGACACTGTGTGCTTTCTTTGTCGCGACCATTTCCCTCTTCAAAAAATTCGGGATACTTTCGCCTTCTTCGTATACTCTATCCCTTCTACTGGAGTCCGTTTTTTATATATATATATATATATTTTTATATATATTTCATTCAATTCAATTTCTCACGCTTCCCTTAACTTAGTGCATTTCTTTCGTCTCATATTTTCTTTCCTATGCTTTTTAATGTAATATATAGCGTTGGCCGGAACCTTATGCTCTTATCTGTTTTTCACTGTATATATTTCTATAACATTTTTTGTTTTTCTTTCTCTCGCTCGCTCTCTCTCGCTCGCTCGATTTCTCTCTCTCTCTCTCTCTGTCTCTCGCCGTTCCTCCTTTCTCTCTACGTACATGCGCGTGCGGCTAGCAAATTGTTGTTCCTATTTTGTTGTTATTGTTGTTGTTGTTGTGTTCATGTGTGAATGTATCAGTGCGTTCTAGATTTCTTTATATCTATTGTCATAGTATGCGAATCATGTATGAAGAGATGTATACTGGCCACTTCAACGTCGCCTGAACAGATTCCGCCCCTGCCGCTCGAATATCGACGCTCTCGTTTTATTTTTGTGTTATGGGTCTCTATATAATTAAATCAATTATGTGTATGTGTGTGTGTATTTTTGCTTAACGAACTCCGTCCGTTTTGCTCCGTCGACGCCGTTATGGTTAGTATCATAATCAGCATCGCTAAGGTCACCACCGTAATTGCCTCTTCTTTCTTTTCCCTTTATATTAATCAACGTTTGCAATCGTGCCTATGCTCAACTTCATTTCATGTTAAGCTATCATACCTCCTACAAGCAAAATATACAGCTGTGAGGGCATTACTTTTACTCGCGAAAACTACAGCGGAACGAGCAGCAGATGCTTTCTCTGCTCAGTGGGAAAATGTATCTGCACCTCCTTTAGCGTACATATAAGACTACGATCTGTCCAGGCTCGATCTATTCGATTACAGTTATAATTATAAGTTATTAGCAATCATAATATAATAATAATAGTTGTTAATATCCATTTTACCGTCGTGTCACCAATAGAGCCGTTGTATCATCACCATGACCATTATCAACATCAGGATGATCATCAGCCAGGATCACTATAGAGACGTCTGCGTTAGGAAGATTTCCACGAAGACATGCTACTTCAAAGCTTCCTTCTCAAGCCCTCTCAAATCGCGACCGTCTCACTCCACGATCTCTGCACAGTTGCTAACCTCTCTCGCGGCACCATGACTCCACTCATGGTGACGTCGAAAGCATTCGACACCGTCACCTATCATCACGGCAGATCGAGATAGTCGTCCGCTACGCCATCAATCCACCTACCGTTCAGTTCATCTGCTAAAGCTAGCTCGCTAAGTCGATGCAGTTTCCTACATTCATTCTACATTCACCATGTGCTTTTAATTTCTACCAATAAATCCAGAGCAAGTCTTATTATTATTGTCATTGTCGTCAGAATGCATTCACCCGTCGTCAAGTCGGATCCGAAATAGTTGTTGTAGTAACTTTTGCGTAGTACGTTGTTTATCACCTTCCGGGAATCAATCGCTCCAGTTCTGTATAGCTCTGAAATTATACGAAAATTATTTAATTGGCCACAGCCGATATATATCAGCTATAGCTATATACATCAGCTGTATATATAGTAGTTTGCTTAAACTTACAGTCTTGGAAACAACTTATAGGTAAGCTGTTTCTAAGACTGTATTTAAGCAACAAACAGATATGCTAACGAAAATTGCGTTGACATTGCGTCAGTCCTGACGGTCATGTTTATTCAATGTAATTTCCGTTTATCTTGATTACAATTTCAATTCGGGACTTGAACTATTTAGCAAAATAATTCTTCAATTGGCAAATAATAGCTTAGTAGTAAATATGATTCAAGCAATATTGGTACGCGTATTAAGTTTCGTGGTAGTAGGCGAAGAGTTTCAAAAATATAAGAGCCCATAAGACCAAAATAATCCTTTTGCCGTTTTGAGACAAAACATTTTTCTAAGATATTAATCATTGGAGCTTATCTGGCCGACTCAATTATAAATAGGTACTTTCTTCTCAAAATCAGGAGCTAATATCTCAAAATCCAAGATTATCAGAACAACTTCATGTTTTATTTTGAGTAGTCTTCAAGCTTTTTAAATATAAACCCTACTTAACATCTTTCGGTTTTATTCAATCCTCTTCGCCATTTTCAGGGTACGCATAAAATTTCGCAATAACGGAGCCCACCCATGTCTAACGAAAAGAGACGTTTTTAATATCAGTCAGTTTCAGGCCGATGCAATTGTGAAACCGCCGGCGACCAGTCAAAAACGACTGTGTTGAACAAATAAATTGAAAACCAATGTGTATTGACAAACCCAATTAGAGTCTTCCTCCGTAAGTTGATAGCGATAATTGCTGGAGGGACACTTCAAACTTTACTATTCTGCCGCGAAAATAAGCATGCTTTTAAATTGCCTACCTCATTCAGGCCATCTTAAAATCTGACCCCAGCCACTTTAATATTTAACTCTATACAGTTGATAAAATGAAATGATAACACTGGTAGCTTGCAACAAATGTTTAATCAGATACGTACCTCTGAAGCAAACACCTCGAAACTACTCAAGGAGCAGGAACGGCCGCTCCTGTCATCGCGCCAGGCGTTCCAGTCGCCCCATTCGAATCCTCCGTGCTGCCTTTTTTTAGCGAGTGCTTGTACAGCTTGTATAGCTGCTTTGACTCAAGGTCGGTAAATTTGCTGACGAAGGCCCACAGATAGGAGCGCCATTGTCTAGCTTTATCATGGGGGTATTCTTCGAGACACTCATTGATGCGATCCCCAATTTTGACGAGGCAGCGTCGTATCTGGCGGATCTGTTCGTCTCGTGTGAGTGACCTGTCTTGCGGATCGAGTTGTTTGAGAGCTCGCTTGACGGGACGCATCTTTTCCTTACACTCGTTGAATACCTCCCTCGGGAGCTCGTCTATCGGGTCAATACTACCACTGCCGGCGGGACCAAGCGCGATAGCACCGATAGCATCCCCTCCTCCGCCCCCACCGCCTCGTGATCCGGAGCTTGTGTGCGTATGATGAGTCGAACTGCTAGAATGCGAATGTGACGACTCCCTTTTGCTGCTGCTCCCACCACCACCCCCTCGATCCGATCCCTTTTCACGTTCCCTCTCTCGATCTTTACTGCCACCGCCGCTTGACGATTTCTCTTTATCTTTCCGACTTTCGTTCTCGCGCCTGCTGTCCTCGCGACGTTTTTCGGCTCGTTCTCGCCGCTTCTGCGCCGCTAACAACTGAAAAAATAAAGATGACGATAACACCACACAAACATCTGTTTAACAATTGACTTCGAGGTTCCATTTCCAATCTAACTGATCTTATTTGAATTGTCCGGAATATAATCAGCTAAGATTAATACAAAATACCACACAATTCGTGTGGTATTTTGTTTGAAGGACGGTATTAACATGGCTGTGTTCTGCAGTGAATAAATATTTAATGTATTAAGTATTAGAGTACACAAGAGTTAAATCTTGGGAAAAATGGACGGTTAAGGATTTTTCTGAAAGAATGCTTAAAAATAAACTAACCTTCTTCTGTTTCTTGTTGTTGATCCGTTTGAGTAATTTCAACAGGGATTCGGCGCGGCTTTGCAAATGCTTAGCTTGCGGCTTCGCCTCGGGGTCCGGCAGAAGAATCTTGTCCTTAAGTTGAAGTGAAGGATCAGCCTTGATAGCATCCCATGAGCCCATCCCGTACTCGAAAATACCACGAAGAAGATTTGAGTCATCCTGCGGCGTCCAGTCACGTCCAAAACCCGGATCTTTAAAGGGACAGTCAGCACGCCACGAACTTTGTTCGGCGGGAGTACTCGGCATAACAATATCGAGAATGGCTAACTCCTCGATAGCCGTTAGTACCGATTTGGCGTTCACCTGTATACCTCCTAACTTGAATGTGGTCCTTTTATGTTTGGTCTTAGTATCTTCTTCGGTATCCTCTTCTTTACCATCGTCGCCTCGTTCTTTCTTTTCTTTTTTTCGTACTTTCTCTTCTAGTTTAGCTTGTGTTACGATTACCATCGAGTCTCTGCAACCTTTCTCTAAGACTGTTGCCAGCTTTCGCAATTCAACCATAGCCTTATCTTGGAGATCGGCGTCGGCAGCTACTACGTCCAGCCTCTTCATCGCTGCCGGGTACTTCTTGTAACTCTTCACGAAGCGACGGATTTCATTATCTGAAAAGCTTCCCAGAGTTTCCTTTGATCTCGCCGGCCGGCCTCGTTTACTCGGTTTCACTGTCTGATTTTCGTTAGCTTCTGCACCACCGTCTTCCAGTTCGGCAAAGTTTGTTCTTCGTTGTCGGGGCGGAAGATACAACTCCATTTGTTCTCTCTGCCGTTCTTCCTCTTCAATCTTTTTTCGCTCTGCTTCGGGTATAATATCCTCCCAAGTTTTACCGGAATAGTCAGGTAGCGTCTGAGAAACCTCCTCCTCGTTAAAGTTGAATGACTGCACCTTAAAGGAACCAAGAAGTTCGTCACCCATCGTTGTTGGAACATCTTCTCGCGTTTCTGCACGCTGAAGGATCTCGTCAATGTCCATTTCACCTTCTTGGCCTTCCCCACCCCCGCCACCGTCCTGGCTGTTGTCTTCCTCTTTGAACAGGTCTTCGGCACCAAACTTGAGAATTGCAGCCAGTTCCTCCTTGTTAAATGGCGTACTACTGCTGTTGGTAGAAGGCCCTCCTTTATGTAAAACGGTGCGGCCCGAGGTATCCATTCTCTGTATGACGAGATGGTCAAGCACCATTTTCCTCTTGGCTCGTTCGATGATATCCTCTTCAACAGAGCCTTTCGTAACTAACCGGTAGATATTCACCTGATTCTTTTGACCGATACGGTGTGCGCGTGCCTGAGCTTGGAGGTCGTTCTGCGGATTCCAATCCGAGTCAAAGATTACAACTGTATCTGCCGTCGCTAAATTAATGCCCAGACCCCCGGCACGAGTGGAGAGGAGGAAACAGAAATCCTGCGATCCTTCCGCGTTGAAGTGGTCGAGCGCCTGTTTCCGGGTTTCTCCTTTAATCGAACCATCAAGCCGTTGAAACTGGAAGCGACGCATTTTCAGGTATTCCCCAATAATATCCAGCATACGAACCATCTGTGAAAATATGAGTACTCGATGGCCCGTCTCTTTTAACCGGCATAGCAATTTATCGAGAAGTAGCAATTTACCTGAACCACGAATCAGTTGCGTAAGTGGATCTTGACCGTTGTTATTCTCTGGCGCACGAATCAACAAGCCGTGGTTACAGCATTTTTTCAATTCAACCATAATATTGACGAAACTTGCTTGACTGCCCTTTAAGCCTTTGGTGAGCATCTTATAGTTCTTCGTCAAGATCCATTTGTAATACTGTTTCTGTAGTGATGTCATTTCTACCCGTAGGATTCGCTCGACCTTGGCCGGTAGTGACTTTTCGACGTCCTTCTTCACTCGACGCAGCAAATAAGGCTCAAGTTGTTTATGCAGTTTATTATATCCCTTATCCTGAGTGTCTTTATGCTCTTTCTCGAATGAGTCCCAATGCGGAAACTTTTCCGGTTCAATGAAATGAAGTAACGCCCAGAGTTCTTTTAGAGAGTTCTGCAACGGCGTACCAGTAATTAGCAAGCGGTGTTTTGTCCGCAAATCCCGCAAAGTTCGATAAAGTTGTGCTTCGTCGTTTTTTAACCGATGCGCTTCATCTACGGCCAACACTGCCCATTCCACATCGCTAATGTAGCTACCGTCTTTTAGCATGATCTCAGGTGTGCTAAGCAGCACATTGAATTTGATTCGTTTTGTACCCGTCACAAACCATTCGAACTCCCGAATCAGCTCTCGACTGCTGACGTCGCCTAAATACGTTACGACATTCATTTCCGGGGCCCAATTGACAAATTCCCGCTGCCAAGCGACGAGCGTCGATAGCGGTACGATCATTAGGAACGGACCGTACAACTGGTATTCATTGAATAAGTAGTTGAGGAATGAGATGGTTTGAATTGTCTTGCCTAGTCCCATCTCGTCAGCTAGGATACAGCTATTATTTTTGCACCAACTGTTTACTAGCCAATTGAGACCTTCGAGCTGATAGTCCCGCAGATGAAGACGCTCTGGACCGCCAACATAATCGGGTTGCCGCTTGATGTTATGGAATTTCGGTCGACAACTAAGTAACCTGACAAGATGTACATAAAAAATATAACATATTGTATAATTACTAGAGCACTGTTGCAATAATCATTTACGAAATCCACTAATAGAACTGGTAGAACAAATTAATAACGAGGGTTACAAGTTAGTACTTATGGTATGGATACCAACCTATGCTGCGTTTTCGGTATCGTGGAACTCGCTTGGCGAGCATGAAACGCGTCAATGATGTGACTGAACTTGCTGCTAATCAGCGATGCATCCTCCCACGTGCACTCGGAATAAGGTAGTCCTTCCCATTTGCAGTAGTAATCTACCTCACCAGGTGCCCCTTCACGATCTTTGCGGCCTACAGAAATTTTAGTAATAGTACGCAAAAAAGACAACAAATAATAATCAGGCGCCGAATCGTTCTTTAAGTTGGCTATCTGTCAGCCAAAAGGTTTGTCGCGTTGCTGCCTGGCTAGTAATTATCAAACTAATCAGCTGTTGATATAAAAACTAATACTGTTTAGCCAAAGGATTTAGAACCTAAAATCACGAGAGCTTGGCGGGACTTATTAGCACCAGATGGTATACACATGGAAATATGTTCCAAAAACAAACCTACAAAACCGTCATTAGTAGTATATTGTAAATCTACTATTTAGGAGGCTTAAGATCAGCATACGACACTCAATGGCGCATCCGTTAGCGATGCACCCCATTTTCACCCTTCAGATTACGTTATCAGTTATATATATATATATATATATATATGCTTTGTTTGAAACCGTACAATGCACGCGTGAAATGGAAGTATAGGCCACCTATCAGGCTTCTAGCGGTAATCATGATAATTTGCAAACTATTGTATTATGGATGTAATTCTATTCGTTAGAGTCGCTCTACAGTTACCATTAAAAATACAAGTGGAATATGTCTATAAACAGCCATACACATTGTCATAATTATTGTTTCAAGCACACGTATTTAATAATTTTGTATTTATATGTGCACTTTCATGTGTTCATTTCAAAAGTAGAAAAACGAAGTGTATTTTTTAAAATTATTTTTGATAATTTTTCATCTCCTCTGTATAGGTATGTCTCCTATGTGGGCGTGTGTGTGTTGTATAGCCTCTCACATATCAACCACGACGACCCGATTTCATGCTCTTCCCAGGCCCTGCCCGCTATCAAGAACGATCGAAGAGTTTGACGAACGTTGCATGACATAATGGGCCCGTACTAGATGAATACGGACAGATTAGATTTCATGGTCTTCCGCACTGGCAATTAATTAACCGCCGATCGATAGCTGATGGATCCCTCACTCAATATATAGACTGATGATTATGACTTGCAAACTTGAGGCAAAAAAATGGTGGCACTATGAGCGGATGATGAATGATAGGTAAATTAAGTAGCAAAATGATGATTCTAGAAGATTACGCGACGACGTGAGGAAGTGAGAGACACATACAAAGTACGAGTTTCAGCGGAAGTATATAGTGGAATTATAATTCCACAAGGGTCATTGGCAGACGTGTCTAGCTAATGAATGAGAATAAAACAGAATGACGTTGCCAGTAGACGACAATGCAGATGTCTACGAACATCGTCGAAGAATTATATGCGAGTAAACGCTGAGATCGGCACAAAAAAATAATTTTGTTAACGTAAAGATTTGAAGTTTTAAACAAGCGAGCATATATTCCAAAAGGCAAAATGCTTGTAAAAACAGCGGACAAATGCACGCATAACCTGCTCGGAAATCGAGCCACTAACAATGTGCGAGCTAATGTGTTACCTGGCGAGATTTTTTTAATGTAACTGAGGTCCTTGCTGATCTTGTTGATCAGCATGGGTTTCAACTTAGTCACAAATACCGATCTCTAGAGATCACTAGGTACACTTGCTTGACCTTGACATCAGCCACAAAAAGTCAACCTTGACGGTCAGCAATCATATCAGCAACAACGACAAATGCGAGTTTTATGTCAACCGAAAAAAATTAGTTCCAGAATAGTAATACAGAACCTTTTGACGGACACGATTAATTGCAATATTAAAAGCCATTAGGTTTCAACAATGGAAAGTCAAACTTGCTGTAGGCGGACAGGAAACAATGATCTACAATGTGAGACTGGACACAAACCAGCAACTCATGCTTACCCGTGTAAAGAACACACCACGGGTAATGAGAAATTCAACTGCAGCCGAGATCGTGGTTATAAGTCTGTCGATGAGCGTCGTCAGGATTTAGCATTAATAATACCTAACTATAAAAGGATGATGCCGCTTAAGGCAGTACGGTACACCATATGGTTCAGGCAACACACGGTTGAATGCAGCCGGCTTTTTTTTCAAATCTAAGGGTTTCTGCATATTCGGGATTTAGTCTTGATTGCTATAATGAATCGCAGACATATCAATTACAATCAAGGTTTGCACAACATTATTATCAACTAGGTCAAGCGCAAGAATTCAAAATGTTTGAAGTTCATCCTGAACGTCATCTAACAGACGATGGAAGGCCATGTACAACTTTCGATCTGCGCGATCAAACATTGCTGATGATAGAAACAACGATCTGGCAGTTACCCTGTTGCCAAGCATGCGTCGATGTTTGTGAGGTGTATCACAACGAGCAAAGGTTACAGGTTATCGGCTGAAAATTCTATCTAAATGATATCATGATGATATCGCTGTCGAAACCACCAGGTCAAGCAAACAGTGTAAAAGTTTCCTCGCGGTTGTTTCCTAGAGGAGTGCGTACACCTTTCGTTCCAAATCATGGATAAATGAATACGTGACAAATTCGTACCGTGCAAAGAATGCGATAATTAAAAGCAGTACATATAACTGACACTAGCGTCCAACAAGATATCTCTGGATGCACAAGGGCAAATGATGATGTAGAATGAATTGAAAAAAGAGATAGATAGGCTGATGAAATATTGAAGTGATGTGACCATTTGTCTGTCTAGCGGACGGTCAAGGCCAGGCACATAGCAGTTGGCTCGTCGTGGGTGATACCTTGACTTAGGCGATGTAGTGAGTTGTGGTACTCTGTCACGGGGTCGGGATGCTCGGCCCCGGCAGGCAACTCACATATGATCCGCTCCACCACCTGGTGGCGGATGTATAGTTCCTCGGACATCTCCTGTTGGCAGTCGAAGTACTCGATCTCCTCAGGGGTTGCACTGTCTTTCCTACAACACATGCGAAGGAGTCACAGCAACGCCGGTGATAAGATTACGAGTGAATAATAAACAAAAAGGCACGAGTTAATAGAAATTGATCATAGACCTATCATAGAAGTGAATACAGCATGTATGACAGCACTGTTTCTGTATAGTTATCATTGCTAAATAAATAACATATAATAAGGCGGAATGTATGCCTTTGTGGACCTTTCTTGAAGCTACCTTGTTCTGAATTATTCGGATAAATGAAGCAGCAAAGATGACTAAACGTACATTGTCTAAGAAGTTTATGTACTTACCAAGCCTGAAGTTCTTCCTCCTTTTTGAGAAAGTTATCGACCCGTTTCAGACCCTTCACACCTTGGTTTTGTAGCGTTTCCATAGTTTCCCAAGTATTATGTAGGTGCGACCAGTTCTTCCACTTGATAAGAAATTGCTGCTCGAGCTCAACTCCTGGCTCATTTGCAATTCGGTTAGGATCGCCGTTCTTCTCAACGGCGTAAATCGTCGTTGAAGACCCGGTAGCGCCTTTTACGCCCATCCGTTTATCCAACACTTTCTCGACCGCCTCAGCATTGTCTTCCTCGACAACGCCATTATTCGTATCCTCACCATCGACGGACATGAGATCATCTTCGTCCGTCTCGTCTTCTCGCTCCTCCTTGTAGGACACTCGCTGCCGGGTGCCGCGACGTGCTGACGCCCTCTGAACAACCTCATCTTCAGAATAGTCGTCATCATCAAACGATGGAGAGGCAACGGCCGGTGGCTTTCGACGTCGTTTTGGAGCTGGCCGTTCTGAGCCGGCACTATCGCTATCTTCACTCCAACCGCGCTCCCTACAAGTCAGTAAACACGTAGCATTATGTATAAACTTCTCTGAACCAACCATCGTCATCACTATTATTATGGTCGATGGTGCGATTTTAATTTAATGAAATCAATCAATAAGAACCGAGAAGACTGAAAGTTGTGATCGATTGATTGGAGTGACGGCTCCATTACAACTATAACTGAACGCGCAAGTATATTCGAGCTCCATTAAAATTTAAGTTCAAATTGTCGTATTGGAAATTCTTACCACATTCTTCTTTGGCTGGCCACACAAAACAGACAAACGAATTATGATTTAATTAAATTAACAATTAAAGAGTCGTTGAATACGAATCAAGAAGGATGGTCGCTAATACGGAGATGATCATTATATAACTACTAGACAGGCCCGCAGGCATTGTTTAACTAATCTGATTCGCTGATGTTACACCCACTCTAAGCTATACTATAAAAAATATCAACACTTACCCTTTACAATCACTTAACCCCACCTAACCCGTAGCCCCTATGTAATTATGTCATTAACCTGTTCTAGTATGTTCGTTAAAAAACTTAGCTCGAACGAGACATATATAGCCTCGTCCACTTTAGATATATTCCCACAGTGTAACTATTTTTTTTAGCTATAGCTTATTGACTCTTATCTTCAGAACGCACAGAAATATGGACAACCGACTTTTAGCAGATGTTGAGATTGATAGACCCAAATAATTTAATAAAGTTTTGTTTTTTTTTTGATATTTTTGGTCTTCACCGAAGCTTAGAGATTTTTTAAATCTTTTTTCTGATATTTACTCTGACATTTTTCTGACATTAAATGGAGACTGACTCTGTTCAGTAAGTTTAGGGCTTAGATATTATGTAAAAATAAATGGTTGCACGTTTATACATATATATTTGAACTGATACGTCTTGACTGATCCACTAACTCTGTTCCGGGACGTCACAAAGGCTTTAATTTTTTTATTCTTTATATCCTGTTCATGGTAAGTAGCTCCACATAACAAACTAAAAAAAAATATATGATTAATGTTTCATGATGTTTTTTTTCATTAAAAATTCGTTCAAAAAGCAGCTTACCGCCATCTCAAAAAGGCACCCTTAGCCTATTCTTATGTAAGTAAACGGACTGGACCAATACAATTTTCACCACTTTCATTCAAAAATACCCACTCATGTATAAAAACATGTATAATCAGGCATTTTTCTATCAGCGCGTCGAGATCTATCGACTAATAGCAAAAAAAATATTTTCCACACTGCATACTAAAGCTTTACTTTTCAAATATCATTTTCAACCCCAAAACTGAGAATTAGGTATAAAAACATAAATTATATTTTGATTTAGTTCCTCGCGAGCTTTTGATTGGTACTACGAAATACCCATTTAACATAAACCTTTATGCAAAAAATGTTAATTCCGATATTCACAACAATTGCCACATTCAGTTTTTGGCCCTTTTCATGCTGAAATATTTATTTTAGGTATAAAGAGATGTGTTGCACCTTCACTTAATTCACCGATTCTTTGACTGACGCCCACAAATCAATGCTGTCAATGAGGTAATGCTTTACACAAAAAATAGTCTTGATATCTTAGTATTTCTCTTAAAACGAAAATATTTGGAGAAAAATCATGCAGCGAAACTGTTCACTTTATCAGCTGCTTCAACTGACATGTAAAAAAAATTCGCTCAAAAAATAATTTAAAATTTCTTCAGATCAGTTTTTTTTCCAAATAGGATCTAATTGTTCGCCATTTTGAGCTCTTTTTCAATATCTCATAGTAGTACATCATAATACGTAATAGTGCATCTTCACTCAGCTTATCAAGATAATCTATCAATAATGAAAAAGCTTTCCCCATTTATCAATCCCTACAACTTTTTCATAAACACGTATAAAATATCCGAAACATCAAGTTAGAAAATATTTTAATGGGACAGATATCACCCGAAAAAGAACTATCGAATTTGTTCTATACTACCAGAACTATAATTAATCGCAGACTTAAAGCTTTGAAGTTATTTCGTTCCAATTTGTCTGAGGTTCAGCAGCAGCAAGTGCATTATTTCATTGAAGATATGGTGTTGCAGTAACTCTATTTTTGTAGTTTAGTCAATCTATCATTGACATCAATGCCGAAGGAGTCATCCTACTTTACTTATTCCGTTCTCCCACTATAATAGTTGAACAGTATTACTGCCACGCTGTAGTTATCCTATCAGCCTGTTCTAGTATTTGATTTGTGTCGTACCCAACCCTTAACATAAGCTATTGCTTTATTCCAGACCTATCTTTTAACAAACGTTTGCAGTCTTTCTGAAACTCTTTTATAAATAATTATGTTATTCCGCTGCAACTCTCTGTAGTGTAGCAAAAATAGCTCTACTTCTTACTCGAAGTCAATAACTTTCTGGTTAGTTATTCTGTTATTCTGTTCTGATACTGGTTAGTTACCTCGCTGCAATTATTCCGTTTTCCTATTAAAATATGCTTGCATGGTGGCTACTTCACTGCAATTAATCCGCTAACACATTGCATGTATCCTCCTATTTGAAGCAATAACTAAGCTTGATCTCAAAATTGTTAATATAAGACCATATGCATTTTGCTTAACTTGCGTATGCAAAATTAGCTTTCAGCCACGCACGAAGCGTCAGCTTGAACCTTTAACCCGGGCGCAAGCCCTTTTACAGTTATTCCTTTCTTTCAATAGAAACGGTACTACAATTCCAATACCCTGTTGCATTTATCCTATTGTTCCACTTAAAATTATGGTATCACCCGATAAAAAATATTTATCCAATAGAAGCGAACGAATCAGTTTACTTAGATTTTCCCATTCACTTCACCAATTAGATTACGCATCATGAAGGAAGACACCTTATAGTCTTCGGGAAAGTATTCGACTTTTACAAGTAAATCCAGCGGATTTTAAAACTAATTTTTGAACCATGCGCCGCTAACAGATGAAATTCAACTGATAGGTACTCCAATACTCTCGACACCCCGAAAGCGAAGCACGGTTGAGTTTAATCTGGAGAAAATGAATTAAGGACGAAAAACATTTTCTGGCCTCGAAAATCAATGTTTGTGTCCAGTTCTTGATCCTCGAAGACTACAGCGCTGCGAAAATTCATTGAAGTTTAATGAAAACGTTAGGCAATAAAGCGCAGTGCGGCAATCGTGAAACGTTTCAAGAACCGGAAATGGAGGCATTTACAGTGAAATAATAATCACAATAAAGCCAACCCGCTATATCGAGCTCTTCAAAAGACATCGACGGTTGGCATCGCAATCGAGTACACGGAGTCTCGGTACTTGATGGCAACGTCTGACTTCATCGCCATGCCTAAGTTTTTTCTAAATCGGACAAGGATTGAATATCCAATAATAAATTCAATTCGCTTCAAGTATAGGTCAATGTTATTACACGGCTTTCCATAGCTTAAAGAGGGCAACTAGTGGTCAAGCATGTCTCACTACCGATTTACTTCGAAAAGCTATAAATAGAAAAATCACTTATCAAAACTGATGGTAATTATATAGCTGCTCAGACGATGCCCGAGCGCTGAAACAAGTGTAGAAAAAATAACTTGTTGTCTCTAACGCACATTAAAAAAACTATCATTTTATCCTGACTAGTTTAAAAATTCGCTGTTAACAATCTGAGATATATATAATCGATTCCGTGTTACGCGCAGCTTGTTCCAAAATGAAACTCTAGCAGCTCAGAAAAATTAGCTCAATCCGACAAGTCTAAAAAGCCGATTTGGGTTGCATAAACACAGTTTTGGTAGTATAGGTATAAATAAAGATATAAACAGATCTAAGTTGTTATCTACAAGCAGATCTAAGTTTTTCGAGAACTTACTTCCGTGGTTGAGATTTTCTGCTATTGTTGCTTGTTGATTTAACTTCAACCGTCTGCAATTAACACGCGCGTGTTAGTTTAGATGTACTGTTCATTGTTTAAATTAATTATTGTTTCGCCTTTTAATTTCAAACAGTGTCAAATTGTATAATATATTATGTAGAGTTTCGAGAAGCAGTGTTAAAGGCGTACAAATCGTTTGGTGACTGGCTTGGCTCTACCAGATCTCCGAACTCCATACATGTCCGGATCTTCTTCCCATGGTTTCTCATTTCGCCGACTTTGTGCAGCTCGCTGTAATACAGCATGAATTTTGGAGTAAATGAACTGGTACCCTAAACAATTCTGGTAAAACTTAACACTTTATTCCTTACCTAGTATCAATGTGCTTTGAGGTAAATATTCTATCAAACAGACATCTATGAGATCATCATGTCTTAATCAAGGTATGTTGGACCTAATCTAAACATAGAAAAACGTACTGGACCGGTGGTCATTAGCTGTTGCTGAGCCGTATTAGTTAACTATCTATGGTTAAGTTAGGCTTAGACTATGAACTAAATTAACTCAATAAATTTGGTTATGTCTTAAAGTTCCAAGGGAGCTTGATTTGAATACCATGTCTATTTGCTTTTATTGAAACCAATGCAACTGCCTTTTATATATCGATACCGATTATGGTTCCTTCACCACGAAAATAAAAGTATATGTGCCGAACGACATTCCTTTGTTGAGATGTTAATTTGCGTCAAAACATATAGGATGTGCTTTAAACTGCTCTATACATGTGGCCAGAAACCACAGTTACTGAGCAGAATGAGCGGCCGTGAGAAGAAGCGTGGAAGAAAGGAAATTTCTATCCCTGATTCCGGCATGTCAAGCCGATGGGTTCACGCCTAATCTAATCGCAACGGTTTGCTATCCGCATCGTTTCAAGAAGAACCTGATACGATAAAAGGGATTCTGAAGTGACGACACAGACACATGTACACTAAAGGTATACCAACTAGAACAACGCATTTAGATGGTTTCTTACGCCGGGGTTTTTTTTTGGAGCTGCAGTGATTGCGGGAGCGTCGGGCTCGCTGTCCGATGAAGTTACGGAGTGCGCTCCCTGTGAGCTCTGATCGCTGTCGGAGTCGCTTGAATCACTGACATACGGCGAAGGTTAGCGAACATAAAATCAAAAACAAATATTCAGCAGTTAGATAATGCCATCAACGTTATCGAAAGTAAATACAGACTCCACTACTAAAGCGGCCGTTTACGTTATTACTCAACGCACGCTGCAGACAGCTCTGATCATATTCACTATACTGACGCAAATGAATTCAGAAACACGGCTGTATTTAACAATAACAACTATAAGCGCCACTACATGATAGCTAAACTAACCCAAAATGTGATGATGGTATTCACTCTGCTTACTAGAAATTAATCTGGGCAAGAAGCGGGCACATCTTCATCTTTATATACTATTTAATCATACGACATAAAATAGTGGAACCACAACGTGTTCAAAAAGCTGTCGCCAAGTCGCCACTGTTTCTGACGTACAGATAATATAACGGATAGGGCGTTATTTATCCGTGCTGCACCGCACTGCGCTGTGTGTTGAAGACACGGAGGAACTCTAAATAATAACGAGATACAGGAACAATGCACGACAGCAAATGTATCTTTAACAACGAGGCAATCACTACTGAAAAAAGACGCCTTATCATTCGCTCTTGTTAGTGCTATTACCTGTTGTCGTTGTTGTCTTCAACCTGATGGTTCTGTATAGTGTTAGAGGTGGTTGTTGAGGCGTCGAGCTGGGTCACCTCGGACGTATCATGGCTCTCATTGTGAGCTGACGTCGATCCGTTGTCCTCTGATCCAGATGAATCTGATGAATCGCCCACGGAGCTCGAACTAATGTCACTATCATGTTCGTCACGCTGCAATATTCATCAGGATCAGCATGAACAGTGTACATGTACAAAGCCGCAGCAGGATGAAACAGACACGTAACACAGAGAGGAGACGACACAAAACAAACACGCAAAAAACACAGCAAAAAATCGTCAATACCGGACCGTTTGAACGAATCGACGATGATACAATCATTCGGAATTAATTGCAGTACTAGACACGTAACGTACTGTGCCCATACTGTGTCAGTGTATCTAAGTGTGTGTGTGTGTGCGTGAGGATGTCGAGTAGCACATGTGTCTCCATAGATGCAAGTGAGAACATGTATAATCTGGGAGAACGATTGCGTATTTTACGCAGGGTCTGAGATTCACTTGGATTTGTTAAGAACTACGTTGGGTTGTTGCCGAGGCCCCAGCTAGAGTACGGCACGGGACAAGGTAGAGCACAAAGGCAAAGTAAGGCACGCTCGAATATTGACTTGTCGGTCGTAGCCGATCATCGTTACCGGGGCGTATCCCACTGGCTGACTAGCCACCGCGCGAACTATTCTATCCGTCAGAAGCACATGGTCATGGAGGCCCTACACTATAGACGAGCCGGGTCGTGGTGGTAGTGGTTTCCGTGACAAACGCACGTGGCCATTCGAATCACACAGTACACTCGATTGGGGAGCGGGGCACCATCGACAATGTGTAGGGACCATTGTAAGGTTGTATGCACTTTCTGGCCGATCGAAATGCTCCGGACGTGTTCTGGTGTGAACCTGCTGTTTCGGTACCATCATTCGTTTGTCCTACCGGGAGGTAGGAATCCAGGTAGGTAGGCCAGCGGCGGAGCCGGCTAGTGCAGTCCAGAAGCAGCGCCGACGACGACCACTGTTGTTAGCCGGATGAGTATGTTCGCGTTTGCTCTGCGGCTAGACAGAGAGGCAAAGGCAAGTTGCAAAACACACAACGATCACACTTCGATATTTGTAGTGGTCACCTTATCAGGGGGGGGTCACGCTGGTTAGTGGCTTATTGCTGGAGCATCTAAATCGACTCGTAAGTGACAGGAGGAGGACCATCTCCGGCATCAGCTGGTCGGCCGCCTTCATTTGGTGGTCAGATGCTTCGAAAACCATCCAGTTCCATTGGCCTAAAGGCACATATTCAGAGCGAAAATCCCATTACCATACTAAGCCTAAAGTGCGTAAATTGTGAAATAGTTGTCTTCCAGAGTTCGGAAATCATTAAAAAGTTGGTAATAGAGCTCTGACAGTTTTCGAACACTTACGGAGTGGGGAAAAAACGACTGAAACGCAGCGAACATTTGGTAGGCGTCAAAGTGCCATCAATGGGCATGGCCATTTTCTGTGTGCAAACAAACCCCCTCAACCCCTGGAAATCTGGAAAAGTTGAAAAGTTGATTGAAAGCTGTCAAAATCGTTTAGTTTCGGACCGCCAGAGTGCCGATTGCCGGGAAAACTGTGGCCAACACCAAGTTGACTGTTAGCTAGCCACGTGGACCTATGGACCTCGTCATCCGTGGCCGTCTTACACTTTGAAGAACACACACAATTACAGAATAATTAGCCGGGGGTTAATTGGGGGCTGAATTTCACCGATTCCACGACATCTTCAGGGGCACCTACCAACGCCATGGCTAATGCTCAGCTTGGCCAGCCGTCGAGCGGGCGAGCGGCGGCGTGCGTCGCGTCGCGGAGGCCTCGGCCGGGGCCGCGTGCTTCGTCTTGAACGGCCCCTCGGGGTCACTTGGACAGCCGCGGGGACTCGGGGGGCCGGCTCTTGCGGCCCGCAAAAGCGCACCACAAAACAAGAGGCAAGATGATAGCAGCAACCTCACAGTCAGCGGATCGCTCCGCCGGACGACCGTGTTACAAACCAGATCCAATGGTGGCAGGCCAGTGGCGCCCGCCAAACTTGGATTCTGGCGGAGTGATACATCGGCCAGTATGTTTAGCGTAAGTGCGAAATGAAAAGTAAGTTTGCACGTCCCTTTGCTAATGATATGACCGACATGTGCAAGGAAGTGCTCGATATGCCTATGGGACATAGTTTCCCAGTGAAATTTACTGCTAGGTACGGCGCGGATACGTGTGTCTGACAGAGCTTTCCCATATGTCGCTGTTCCTACCGTTAAAATGACACTTCTGGACGCTAAATTTGTCCATAGTTCATAATTCATAGTGTCAGCGAAATTAGATCTCAATCTTTTTACGTCCGCAGTGATTAATCAGGGTTTTTCGACACGTGTAACGTACGGTTAGATAAAATTTACTTCGCTCATAGTCTTTTTTGAAATTTCGCGCCTCAACAAAGCGACAAACATGAAATTTACAAAAATCACCGACACCGAACCCACTTATCGTTGCCGTTCTTCAAGAACACGCAACTATCGAATATTTCACAGACGTCAAGTATAAACGCAAGCTACAACGCGACCGTAAGCTCAAACAAAAATAACTCTCGCAGTGCGCGGGTCCACGATTAATTCCTCTCCCTTATTTTTGCAGCCGCAGCCAACTGCAGTCGATGTAGTGAGCACCGCGCGCTGCCAATAACCAATACCTACCTATCTGTAGCTACCATATATACCAAGGTAATAATTATGAATGCTGATAGTTATTTTAGCTGGCTGTGCGCGAGCGTGCGGGCGGTCCGTCGACTGCGCACCTGCGCGCCAGGCAGCTCGCTCGCTCCCCTGTTAGCTTTAGCTATTCGCTGCCAGCCGCTGCTGCTTCTATAACTGCTACCACTACCACTACTACTGCCGCCACCGCCGCCACTACCGCTACAATTCCTAGTACTCGGGCCCTGCGCTAGCCTGTTGACCATCACCTGCGACGATCGCTCATCGCGCTATTTACGTTTTCTAGCGGCGGTCGCACCGCAGCAGTGGCGGCAGCAGACGCCGCTGCTGCCATCCTCCGTCTGGCGCTCTCGCTTGCTGGCCCCCTCGTCCGCTCCAGCATGTCTGTCTACGTAGCCGATTGACGAGCGCCACTCTCTGCTCTCGTTGAAGCTGAGCTAGTGATGTTGATGGTGGTGCAAGTTCTGCTGCTGCTGCCGCCGCCGCCGCTGCTGCTGCCACCGCCGCCGCTGCCGCTGCCGACAGTAGGTTCGTGATGATGCGTGACAACGACGACGACGATGATGGTGATGATGGTAACAACAGAAACAACAACGAAGAAAACCATGAATTTTGTGTGGTGCTTGCGCAGCCGCCGCTGCCATCACTGTGGTGGCGTTGCTGTGGTCATTGGCCGTCGTCTGTATCTGCTCCGATCCCTGCAGCTGTTGTGGTAGCCTGTTGGTGCGTCCAGGCATGCGCGTGCTGCTGTGGCATGAGCGACGGAGAAGAGAAAGAAGTTGCGAGAGAAAGACAGAAAGAAAGAGAGTGCGTGCTGCACTAGCGACTGTGCTTTTTCTCTGACAGGCGGGTTTAATGCATTAACGCACACCGCTGGGGCCGAATAAGACATAGACAGCCAGTGTCAAAGACCAAACCCTGATGGCTGGATTTGGTTACGCCGAGACCGATACGTAGTAACGCACCTTTTCTGCCTAACGTTTTACTCTCTGTCAGTTTGGAGACTGCGTTAAGCGCGAACACTCATTCAGCAGTCATCCCACAAGCCCCAGAGAGTGGAGCTAAGTATCCGGAGTGTGCCGTTGTCGTTGTGCAGGTGTCTTGCATGCTGGCGTTGTGTGTTGGGTTCTTTGCGCTGCATTGCGTTACGTCGGCGGCTGCTGCTGCTACTGCTAGCGGCGCTGTTACACAAATAAAACGGCGACGGTGGTGGCGGCGGCGGCGGAGGGGACGGCAGCGATAGAAACAGCACAACAGTAATACTGCTAGCAGTCAGCCGTGTTAGTGGTGGTGCGGCATCAACGACGCTATCTAAATAGCGTGTTGTTATTACGAGGAGCGACTATTGACGGTGGCCGCCATCAGGCCCTGTCGCTGTGCTTCACTGTTATTTAAAGATACAAACACACACATATATATGCCCCATATTTGTAAATATACATATATATGTATTAAACCTATTAGTACCACTGCTAGTGCTGATGTTGTCTCACGTCGTACGCTAACGACGGAAACAAACTAATTAGAAGTGCTATTCGTCATTAACTATCTTGAGTCTGGTCTGTTTCGCTATGTTCGTCTGTCCCTCTGCGGTGACCAACGCTGCACCTGCGCGTGTTATACGCGAGTAGGGTGTTGTGTAGAGCTCTCTGTGTTATTACTACGGGTGCGAAGTTGAAGTTGTACTCGTACGCAGTGTTATTGACACGACGACGACGACTACGACCACGACGCAGGCCAGTTGCCTCGTTATCCATCGTCTCTATTTGTGGCTATTTATCCGTAAGTGTTTGCACGTGTCGTCTGTCCATTTCCGAAAAACAACCGAAACACCAGTGGCAGGGAACAACGACGAAAGACGATGGTGACGCCAACAACAACATTTGCCAATATCACTTGTCAGCAGCAGCAGCAGCTACAAGTGCTAGTCTGAGGAAAAGCACGGAATGCCCCTGAGCATCCAGTCCCAACTAAAATGACACTGCAGTAGAGACAAACAAGAAGCCAGTTGCCAGCCTCTTAAGACAAAAAGCGACCAGGCATTAAAAAAATAACTGAAGGCCGAACAGACACTAAACTCGACGACCTGTACCGTAGATGTTGTTAACAACAACAACAGCAGCAGCAGCAAAAAGAGGAAAGGGGTCTCATCATCATCTAGTGAACGTGTGGACGCAACGTGATAGCAGAAATGAACGGCCAAATGTGTGCGGTCGGTGTTACACTACCGCTAGCGAAACTCTATGTTGTACTGAACAGAATAAATAGCATTCATTGAGATATGCAACAGTGTTGTTTCCCCGAAAACAGCGAGTAAACCGGCGTCCATACGAAAACAAAGCCAACTGCGCACCCATACCTATAATGCCGACAATCGCTGGCAGCTGTAGCTCGCTCGCGCTGTTCAATACGTGAATTGCGTTTAATGATTCAATTCAATAACACTAATCAAATAAGAAAGAGAAGTACTTTGTGGGCGCGATCAACGACACGTCAGCAAGCGGTATCTGTAGATGTTAGCGCAGTAGTAGAACCCCGCTAACAGTTGTACGGATAGTGGCTGCGCCTTATCCGATCGTTCGCTCGTGTTTCTGAATCAATCTGTTTATGCTGTTCGTGCTTGCCTATCTTTTTTCGTTTTATTGCCGTGTCCGCGACCGTAGTATAGTGGGTGGCAGTGAACGTACGTGGAAATACTACCCATACACACACAGGTGCCAGCAACGTACTATAATGCATCGAAAATTTATCGTCTGGTCGAGCACTGTGCGGGTGGGCAGTGAGTGAGATAGGAAGGCCGTCTGTGTGTCTGTTTGTGTGATACATTCGCTTTAGCTATACCGTCCTGGTTATTGATGAGTGCTGTTTTGCGAGTAAACTAACTGGGGAACTATTTGGCTAGGCAGGTCGAGAGACAGAAGATAAGTAAGACACTCACCCGGCCGAGGCTAGCTGCTATCAGACAGTTCTCGTCCATCGACGTGTTGAGTAGAGTCGTGTAACATAGATAGGAGGATGGATGCATACTAACACTGAATCACCTATAAGAGATCTACGTCGCGCTACATATCACGAATAGTGAATCTGTTTTCTGCTAACTTGTTTGACTACTTACGCAACTGCCTACGTAAACTTACCCAGGGCTTTGTCTAGTACAGCCCTGCTGCAACCCGTGTCTGTTGTCATAGCCGCAAAAAGAGCTTGTCGTCGTTGGCATTGGCGTAGTATGCTTCTATTATTATTAATCTGTTAGTATCATTGTCACGTCCATACGAAGGTGACTAGTGATTGTGGCACCGCTGAAGGGCAGCAACGTCAATCGATTCACTGCTTTTTCACAAGCGACATTGACGCACGTGAAAGTAACGGCAGCCTAGAGCACAGAAGCGGTTTTCTGCCACATAACAGATTCGTATGGATGTAAATGGACGAAGAAAAGGAAGAAGACGGCAAAACAACAGCTGTTTCACCCATTAGGAGCTCAGTGAATAAGTGGTCAATCTGATCACTGTAACTGACGGCCAGTAACTGACGGCCAGTAACTGACGGGTGCCATATTTTGTCCTGAGTGTAGTCAGCACATCGCCATCAGTGTCATCATAATCGGCAAGCGTATCGTTATTCGGATAAGCCGCGTCAAACGTTTGTCCCCATAAATTCGGGGAGCCCGATCGTGTACTGTACTAATTATTATTATTATGATTTTACTGTTGTTCCCACGACGAAGGTCCATCCGGAATCGTAGACACCGCGAGGTCATGCTCGTGGATCGGGCGACCAGCAACAACTACGATAACAAAACTGACTGGTTTTTCTACAAAAACCAATTGCACAAGAACAACAGCAGTAAAGAGATAAACCTAACTAATATCGCAGTATATCACGATCGCCATTATCGTCGCAGCTATCGATCCCGTCATCGCCGGCATCAGCCAGTAATGAACGAATTTTACCAGACCAACAACAATATTAGGATTACTGACAAAGATTCCATTGGCCATTGGCTACAGCGATTTCTCATATTGACCTCGACAAAGACAGTAAGGCCCAAACGCAGCCACAAGTCGAGCCACAACTGTTGTTGACGTTGATGAAAAGCACGTTTTTCTGCCATTCAGTGACTGTCATCCAGTGACCGACTACCGCCTGCCGGGACAGTGCTTCTGAGTGGGCTAAAACTGACTGTCGCCTGCGCGATCCGCTTCTACTGTACCCGTAAGAGTAAATAAACGACTCCATTCTCACGGCCCTCCCCTCAGTACTATCCCGGCTGCCGTTATTACTGCGTTGCCGCCACAGTGGACTTGTTTTGGTTGTGGTCCTCCGCGGCTGCAATGCTGCAGTTCCTGAGAGCGCATTAGCATCTGGAACAACAAGTGTCATACAGACACCATTTGTCTGCTAAATAAACTAGCCCCAGTATCGCTGGTGCGCCGGTCGTTAACTGAGTTTCAATTTTGCTGCTTGTTATACTGGTGCGTTCGATACTTCTTGTACTACCGTTAGTGCCTGTTCTCCCCTGAGACTGTCGCTCTCTCTCACTGGGTCAAATAACCTGTCCGTCATCCCCGCAACCCGTACCAGCGATCCGCGCAAGCCGTCGACTGAACGCTTTAGAGATGGCCCTAGCCGTCGACTAAGTCATTCTTGGCTATTGTTTTTGCTCCCTGTGGCCAGCGGCTGTTCGCTAGTTTGCCGTCGAGTACCGCTTTCTGTCCGAGGAGGAGATCACCTTTTTCAACGACGCCGACGAGGAGGAGTGCGTCCGCTGATTCGCTGCGACGGCCACCATCACCGCCGTCGCGCGCAGCGGCAGCAGCGGTAGAACGAACACTATTGCAACAACCGTCGCTGCCACAGTCATTGACTGGCCGTTGATGCTGCTGTTGTTGTCGGCACTTGGCGACGGACCCACCACGAGACGACGGGACGAGCGCCAACAGCTATCGCAGCCATTAGCTGTTGCTACGACTATTACGGCCAATACTGCTACTACTACCACCACCACTACTGCTACTACTACTACCACTGCCAGCTATGACTACAGCAGGCAGTCCCATCTACAATCACTGTTCGCTATTGTTAGAGCTGCTGCCGCTGCTGTGACCAACGCCGTCGCCGCTGATATATGCCTTTTGCTGGCGTCGAAGTCGGACGTTTCGCTGTGGTTGTCGTCTATTCGACTGTCTGGATGACCAACGACGACGACGACGACGACGAAAATTTACAACAGCAGTAGTAGAAGCAGTAACAAGAGCCAGCGACGGCGAAAAAGCTGTACCAAGGCTTGAACATCTGGGAAAAGACGTCGCTGGTCGCCAGACGTAGCTTGTCCGCTGTCGTTCGTTGGTTCTCCATTGGAAAAACCGGTCGACCGACCGACCGATTTAGAGATCAAACGGCCAGTCAGGTAGCCGGTGCGTAAACCTGAATGCGTGCGAATCTTCTCGTTTTGGCGGCAAGCATCGACCACCAGCGAGAGGAGGAGGAAATCGTGTCATGCCATTTCTTCTCTCGTGGTGCGCCTTCGTAGTCGTCGTTATCAGTAGTAACATTATGATAAAGAGCTAAGTGCGCGGTTGTGTTTTCCAAAGAAGGTTCTCTTCCCCATGTTCCTGTAGCTCTCCCCTCTCTGCCTTCCACTGTCTGTTGGGATACGACGACTGCAACGGACGACAACGAAAGCGAGCAGCATACTGGATGATCGAAAGGCTGCTTGTCAACAGCTAACTTCAGCGGCGCCGACCTATACTTCGTGCTATGCTGAGAGACGGAAGGGGCAGAGGTAAACATTTTCGGAAATCAAATCGAAGCGGTTACTTAAGTGATGATAGTACGTTGAGGTTAAGGTTACACAATACAACCAGCAAATAGAACAAGTCGAAATTGTTTGCACATTTGAAAAGGCGCTACTTGCGACGATGATGATGATGACGACGACGATAACACCGGCGGCGATAATTATGGCAAATTAGCGAAATGGTGAAGTGTCTTTGTGACTGTATACCGGCCCTTGGATATAGCAGCACCTCAGATTACTTCGATACAGCTTACGACCGAATATCGACAATTAGATCACGTACACGTGGATCTAGTTCTTTCACCTATAGTGCGAGACTGTGTTTCCGAGAACGCTCGGTCACTGACTTCATTCGATGGTCTGCCAAAAGTTTGTTACTTCACGTGCGTCGTACAGTTTACTTGGCAGATAAACAGGTAGCGTTAAAAATCAAAGTAATACCGAAGGGTCCCCAATCGATCGCCATTATCGCTACGTGCATCACAGAGCTGGGGAATGAAAAACAACTGACGTGCAGGTACAAACGAATCTGAGCCGTGGAGCATGTGTCTACGTCCTAACTGGCCACGCTACTTGGCCCGACTCTCTTCCGTAGACCCGCCGCCTTCTGATAATTACGACGACGACAACAGCAGTAGCAAGCAGTTGCATCATTATCAACAGGATAAACGTACGTATCCGAACGACGCTAACCGGATAGGTCTACGTCGCCGACGGCGCAGTCCGTGTATTCGAAATTGCTGTCCATCAGTTGGTCATCCCCATTGCTCGCGGTTGACTGCTTCATCTGAAGCTTGCAGTCCTTAATGAGAGTAGTTTTCCAAACCCTTCACAGTACTGGCTCGAATGGTGATCAGGCTCTAGGAAGAAGAGTTCACGGGAGTTCCAGGAGTTAGCAGGAATCTAAAAGTATCGGTTACTCTTCGCTTGCGAACAGTAGTAGAAGTAACGTGGTTACTCCATATCAGAAGAGGGTGGAGCGAGCGCTACTGTGAAATTGTTGTGTAATGTGAGCAACTGTTGTTACCTTTCAGTTAAGAATGATTAATAATTTAAGTTAGAGGTTTTTTTTTTATAGCCGCACGCACATCTATCGTGAGTCGTCGAGGCAGTAAAAGGTGAACGTGCACCGAAAATATATATTTATCGAATTCATCGGAAGCAACAAAGGAATACGCGAGGGCTACGTGGTTAAGTGTTGTGTCGTTGAGCGGTGTGTACCGAGCTAAAAGCTGTGAAGCAGAAGCACAGCCAAAGCTGTAGCGTTGATATATATTCGATTTGTGTAAAAATAGTCACAGCTGAATATCTAGTGAGTAACAGTCGTCGACCAGTGATAAATATGGCGGCCGCCCCAAGAAAGTTCATAGAAAAAATCGCTCTCCATACACAGAAACAGGCTGAGGAAACAGCCGCTTTCGAGCAGATCTTAAGGGTGAGTAAAAGTCGTAGCAAAACGACATCTCGATTTACATTTTCAACGTATGCTGAATACAGAAATTGGTATTATATACACGCCTATCCGTTGCCTGATACACATAAGCGTGAGCTCACTAGCTAGATATCCCCCCAAAATGACCATTACTCGCGTGTGAAGATTCGCCTCGTATTTTCCGCCTGAACAAAAAGCAGTCTTTGCATGATCTGCAAAGTATTCCTGCTCGTTGCTTTTGTATATATATGTACGTATGTATATATATATATATATGTGTGTGGTCCACTCGGTTTTGCTGCGGGTACGGCATACACATCATACTAGCTGCACGGAAGAAACACCAGGATAAGCTGAGTCTTCGAAAGCAAGCTCGTGAATTATACAGCACAGTAACTCAGCATATCCTTATTCTATACCGAACATGTTAAACAGGTACCTCGGAAGTCATCTATAGACAGCGATTGGGTATTATCTCGCAGAGAAGAAACACTTGATGATGAAGGTGGTGAAGCAGCCGTTGAACAGAAAACTACAGCATTATCAGAATCGTCTTCTAAATCGGTCTACTGCCACTTGTGATCTTTTTGTTATTGATCGCATTCGCCAAATTCTGTTTTTTTTTTTTAATTAAAACTAGTTATCCTCAGCTGGTCGTTACTTTTAGCAAAATCGAAACGAGAATCACTGCGACATCTTTAATTTATTCTGTATTGAAGGCCCTCGGCCGTTGAGCAACTATGATATTTTTTTGTCCGGTAATTGCTCCACTCTCGAAATGCTTCGAAATTTTCGTAATTCTCCCCAGAACTCTGTCAGTCCCTACGCTCCCAATAATTACTGAGGATAGTCCCGTTGATAATTCTTTGCTGTCCTTGCCAGCTGTATATATATCTCGTCGGCTTCCAAAACGCTGTCGACGATAGAAGGACGCTCGCTAGTTGGTTAGCAGCGACGACGGCGGCGGCGGCGGCTGCTGCTGCTGCTGTAGCCGCTTCTGAAGCATCACGAGGTTTCGTTGTCCGTAGCTAGCCGTGTCCGTCTACCAGTTGATATTGCGCCGCGCTCTTTTTCTTCTCTAGTCTCTCACCGTCGTCGGTTACTAGTAGCCGGTGACGATTGTCTCTGGCGGACAAGCGAAAAGATGGTTTTGTGCCAGCTACCAAACCATAGCTTACAGCAACAGCAGCAGTAATGGCAGATACTAGCGGTGGCCGGCGAAAGTAACCAACATGGACTGGTCAACCAACGGGTAACAAGCGACCAACTTGTTTACGATGGCAGAGACAACTGTGCCGGCAGCAGTAGCGATCTAAATTGGATGAGAGAGGTTTAGGACGGCCTAACACGGCCGGCGTCGCCGAAGCCAAGGTGCCAAGCGTTAATCACGGCTACGAAAACAGCAATAGCGACTGTGATCGAACAATAGCTGCATCAATAATTTTTTCGAACACTCAATTAGAGACACATGAGAACAGCACCCTGGGTGTGATCGGTAAGGGTCGATGAAAGAGCCTTCTGTAGCCTGGCCGTTTCTGCTGCAAGTCTGTATTACAATAAATCATTTGCAGACGTCCATTTGCTGGCATTGCGTACTTCTGGTTTTCAATATTCTGCTTAAATCTCGGCTGTCATGTAAGGCCTGACTGGATATCCAGTTATCTGTAGAAAACCTGCGTTACGCACAACAGTAAATACAACAAATGCTTTGGCTTAGACAGTGGTCAGATGTTTTTTGATCGAACTACATAAAGTAATTTCTTAGGCACAATATTCCGTAAGAGCAAGACGGTTAGGTAATGGTACTATCGGTGCTGTACGACCTATACTATTTATGTGCTAGGAATAGGCCCAAGATGCCTCTTCTGTTGCACTCGAGAATGTGTGGATGTAGGCCTTTTTCTCACTGAGAAAAAAAGCCAAGAAAGGGTTAGAGAATTTGCGTCCTAATTGCGTGCTTCAGTTCAACAGGTTTTTGTTTACGGGTGTATTTTAGCTTTGCGACTCAGTTCTACTATATTTCGACAATGAAGACAAAATCCGAAACAAAACCAGCGCAGAGAAGGTAGACGCAGAGGCACTTTTGCATAGGTCTAGTCAGGCTAAGTATCGAATAGTAAAGAATAAATTATATATTATACAATTAGTATCGGATGTTGTTATTATGATTCACTGTGTCGAGCATTCCCTCCTATTTGTGCCCACGTCGCCTTGCTTTAATGCTATATCGAGAGCACTCGATAGATGATAAAAACTCGTTAAGGTTTCGTAAATATATATATGTACTTTCTGTGCAGTTAAACCGTTATGTAGAAGTCTGCTCACCTAGAGCTCAGATACCTTTTTTGAACAGCCGACTAATGATGACTCTGATGTTAACGGTGAGGATGGGGATGAAGTTTACTTCCGAGCTCATAGAGGCCCAAGACATGTTGCTGATATTAATATGGCATTAACAACACCAATTTTTCTATATTTGGCTAAATTACTCAAAAAAACTCGGGGATACGAACAACAGGTGCAAGCATTTAAGTAGCTACGAAATTCGGTCTTTTCTGCTTAGCATGCCTGAATACAAAACAGACTGATGTACCTTATTGTTGATTGTACCATTTACCTTGATCAAATTCATTGATCTGCTGTTACAGTTCTTTCTAGTGGTGCAGTTCAATGATGTGTGTTCAGTTGCAATAGAACATCATAAGACAACCTTTTCGACCGCCCGTTAGGTCCTACCAGTAGTTTTGATGCAGCGTAGCCATGTTTTGTCTTTTAAACTTCTGCGTAAGAATCTCGTCTCCGACCAGCAGCAGCAGCAGCAAGAACACGCTATCTTACGCATCTGTTCTCAATACGCGAAGTGGTTGGGTCCTGACGACTCAGCTCATAGACGATTCAGGACTGACTGACCAGCCTGACCGGTCGAGATCGATTTAGCTTATGCTTTTGCTCTTATCGTATTCCTCACTGTTGCTGCTGTTAGCGTTGTTGCGACTGCTAGCGCGAAATCAAAGGCGCCGACCCTGTCGGTCGGCCACTGGCCATTGGCGATTGGTATAGAGGCACCACAGACCGCTGGGAGACGCACAAGGTTTAGGCTCACAGTGTTGTTGTCATGATCAGTCACCACTGACTTCGTAGGGACACGATACAACACGCGTTTGCCCGTTTCTCTATTTTCTCTTCTGTTTCTGAATATTTGGGTTGTCATACATGGATCGATAGGTAAGTACAGAGGTCCTTCGCGAGTGCTGACGCTGTCTGCTTGGCCTGGTAGACATCGCTAGTGACAGGAGCAGCAAGAATAACGGCAGTCAACGGGCCGAGGACAAAGCGTTGTTTACCTAAACCCTTTACGCGTGTGACTTTCTCTGATGCTTGAGATCTGTGTGTGAGTCTGAGAAAGTTTCTAGTACGCGATGGTGACGGCAGCAGCGGTCGGAAGGGCAAAACGGCAGCGAAACTCAGTCCATTGGACTATCGCAGGCCATTTGTTACAATTATCAATCATTACTATGTGAACATAGTAGTATTATTGTCTGTTCCATCGTAATACGAAATGATTATTTTATAGAATGACACACACGGATCGGATGATGACGTAATATTTGATGATATCGCTGACATTTTAAGTTGCTAACCAAAACATTATGCTATATATATATATATATATATAGAACATACCAATGACAACAATTATATATATGTATATACATAATTGTTGGCATTTGTATAATATATAGCTGTATAAATATATATATACAAAACAGGAAGTTCTCAATATCGTGCAGCGTTGCAGACGATTCTCGGTGTTATTCATTTTGCATGCATGCGGCGGAGGTGACTTAGGTTGGAGGGTAGGACAAACTTCTGCCATATTAACAGACGAGTCTGAGCTAACGGAGTAGGCGTAAAACTCGCTTAGTCTCGAAAAAGGTAGACGCGAATTATTAGTCACTATTATTTGCCGATTAGTGATACCAAGTAATGGGCAAACCACTTACAGGTTATCCTAACACTATCGTTGCTAGTATAGTTCGACTCCAAAGTCTCTGGAAAATGTTCAGCACCTGCACGAACAAGGGACGCGATCGACGCAGACAGCAGCGAGTGCACGCCATGGCCATAATATTCTGGGTTTTCTGATATCTCGGGACGAAAATCGAAGTAGGCGCTTTAAGAGATCTTATTAACTCTCTTGTTCTCCTCGACCAAGGTACCGTTACTGTTAAAATAAGCCTTTTGGAATTGACCATTGTCCGCTATGGGAGACGGTTGAGTGAATTCAAATCCAAAGTACGATATCGTAAAATAAAAGCCGTCTGTATACTTGCAATACAATATCAACTAAACTGAATAAAAACGTTTTATAAACAGCAGTAATGTTTTATTCTTAAAACAAACTGAGTGCGATATACTTCAGATTTTTGTTGGTCAGGAAACACTTTTCAGAATTAGGAAGTAGAACTGTCAATTTACTCCGTATGTGCCAATAAAAAAAGAGTGGCTTCTCTTTTTCAGAGAATGAAATGCATGTAAAATTTTAAGGAATTAAATGATAAAATATAGACAAAAAATAAATGAGTTTCCCATAATTCGAAGTTGGAATTTAAGTACACCTAGATCCCAGAAAAATAAAGGATACCTTATATATATATATGTATATATATATATAACTTCCAATTATGGGAAACTCATTTATTTTTTGTCTATATTCTATCATTTAATCCCTTAAAATTTTACATGCATTTCATTCTCTGAAAGAGAGAAGCCACTCTTTTATATACATATATATATGATATAGCACTTGCCACAACCTGATAATTACACTATTTAGAATGAGCTTGCTTCTCTTGTGCAAATCAAGTGAAATGTTTCGAAATCTTGTTCTGTTTTAAATAAGCTTGAACTTATTCCCTTTGTTAATTTTGGCGAGTCACAATTGGAGCTTCGTTTTATAAATGACAAAAGCATTCTGTAACTCTTCATTCCTATATCGACAT